CTGTCTCTTTTTGGTGATGAAGTAGAAGAACACACTGTTTCAAAGAATGCGAAGGTGAAAGTGTACCTCAGAATAAAGCCAACAAAGAATGATACTGCACTGATTTTGGCTCCACCACAGGATCGATCGTCTGAAGTTAATTATTCTCAGACTTTGTTAGTAAGATCTCTGAAGAACCCTATGGTTCATGAATTCAAGTTTACCAAAATATTCAAGTCAAAAAAAGGAATACACTGAGTGTGTTCATGATTTGGAAAACGACTTTGTCAGTGGACAAATGAGATCTCTCTCATTACATATTTGTTCCTAATTTTAGTTCTCCTTTTATTACTTTCTATTTCGGCGTAAAATAGAAACTGTATTAGCGACGAAATTAATAGCAGACTTAATGTGAAAAATGCTTGATACTTTGCAGTTCGGAATTACCGTCTGCTATGTAACAATGCATAGATTCAAATATATAAAACTATTATTTTACCTGATGTTTTGTACGGATGTGAAACCTGTTCTTTCAAGTTAAGGGAAGAATATTAATTGTGGGGGTTTGAGAACAAAACGCCGAGAAGAATATTTAGACGTAAGAAGGATGAAGTGACAGGACATTAAAGGACACTTTAATATGGAGTTTCATTGTTTGTACTATTCGCCAGTGTTATTAGGATCATCAGTCCAAGGATGAGATGGGAGAACGCACCGGGGAGATGGGAAATGAGTAAACAATTCTGATTGGGAAGCTGTTTTGGATTTAAGTACCAGCGTAAGCTTTTATTTTGTCTTAAAGTTGGAAATTTAGATGTGAGTAGTTCTATGTGACGATGGTCAATATCTTCCGAACCAATGCCATAGGAAAATACTAGCATGAAATAAATAACGCACAAAGGCTTTTAGTTACAAATATTGTTTGTAGACTCAGAATAATTAGAAGATTAATATGAAAATACTATGAACGCGCTGTTGCTAGAATCCACATAATATCATCCTGGAGCCTTTGTTCTCGTGATACACTTAAGAGAAAGACAAGCGGGTTGTGCCTGCAAAACCTCTTTGTCCCCGCAAAATATAACAATATTTCTTGCAATGCCTCGTGATGAGGGCTACCTCTCCTCAGTTCTACAGTCGTAATTCTCTCTCTGTCGGGTGCGTTATATTATGCTGTTTGCTAAAAATTTATTCATTCCACTAGCCATTTAAAACTTAACCACTATAATTACTTTAACATTCGTTCATTTGAGACTAAAAATTCCACGTAATATCCGATGTGGGAAAAGACGTTAGCTACACATGCACAATATCTGAAACAATCCCTTCTTCAAAATTGAAATTGGTCGTTATGCAAATAGTTGCCTGACGTGTATACTGTAACCGTTTAATACACTAAGAAAGGTTTAATAGGCCTTAATAACAGTTTTAGTGTATCAATATAGATATTAACAGCAGTTTTATGACGATTTAGAAATTAATTTGAAGCTGAGGTCGTATGAAATCTGATATCATACGTCAGGTTTGATGCCTTGCGCCTGTACGCTGAATTACATTAAGTGTTGTGTTGATAACTAAAATCAGACAACGCTGCGGAGTTCATTCACGTTATAAAGGGCCGTATCTCATAAATTTTAATATCAAGTTATGTACAGTGTACCTGTAGGTACCTGCCAGTCTTTTAGTGAAAGGACCCTGGGTAAAATTAAGTCGAAGTAATCAAAATCGCTCAGTCCGAAGTTGAACAGTTACGTAATTAAAAAGAAAGTCCGTCGATCCACACGGAAGGGAAGTGTTGCCAAATGTACAAGAAGACGTTATTCAGATGATTATTATCTTCTGGAATGTTGCTTTGTGTAGCCTGGTAGAAATTTTCGTACGTTCAGAGGTGCTTTCTGCCCTTCAGAGGCGCTTTCCGCCCCTGATGATGAAGGCTTCGTGGAAGAGATAAAAGTTGACAGAAGATACGAACTAATTTTTCGTATTTTTCAGCGACAGAGAACATACTGAATCACTTCAAAGTCATAACTAAAGCTCCACATTTACTACTGATACGTGCTGAGAAGCTCGAAGAGGAGACTGTGGATAGTTACTGTGAGTTTGTTTTGCTTACTTTGTAGTTTAGCTGTTAAATAATGTTAAGAACTTAATAATTTGGTCGGTAGTCAATAAATGTGTAACAACTCACTTACTTTAAAATTGCTCATGTCCGTATCTCTATAACTGTTCAGCTTTGGAGTGAGGTATGTTTATTCGAATCAAACTGTCTCAAGGAAGATTTCCTACAATTAAGGAAAGAACCTCCCGGTACATCTTGTATATGTTTGAAATATTACTTTTTACAAACACAACACATAAAGTGACAGTGCTCCATTAGGCTAATTATTGTCATCAAACTAAACATATCTTTGTTCTTATCTACCTTTCTAAAACGTACTTTGAAACAGTATGTGTTTACAAATCTGATACGTAATTACGCCATGTTTTATTTTCACGAGCCACAAGCGAACGAGTAAAAAATGTCAGCCTTCAATTTCGAGTTTACACGTGACCAGTAGACTCTGTGGTATTTATACTAAGGGGAAAAACGACAGTTTCTTACAAATTCATCTTCTGAGTCTCAGACAATATTCGCGTTTGTGACCTTAGTCAGTCAAATCATTTCCCAGGAAAAAACAGAATTTGCCTTAGCGTCATTCTTCCCTAGCGCTTGCTATCCGAGCAACAGGAAATACCTTTGCCGGGGTTCGAACGAAGGAAACATTTTCTTTGGCCCAGAGCCCGGGCCCCTCTAAAATTATTTCTAAAATTAATCAATTACACTGAAACCGAGCGTTATTTTTAAATAAGGGCGAATGAAATTGCAGTTTTTTCTTCACGTCTCTTCAGAATATTTTTAAATTTATTCTCTTCTTATAGGAAAAGTACCTAGTATTAATTATTGACTTGTTACATTTATGATTGAATGTAACCAAATTGTAATTTAGAGTATTTCTCTTTTTCTTTAACTACCAACAATATGTAAATATGGACCGACAATGGTCAGCCCTTATGTGAACACCTGCGTGTATAACAATGCAAGAAAAGGCATTGGAATTTCTATCCGACACCTGCAACAATCTTGGCTGAGCATGCCGTAAGGCTCTTTTCTCATTTATTATGCATGCTGTATAATTGCCTGAATGAACCGTATTGCACTCCACTCTTTTACCGAAGAAACTAATTGTTACGTCATCTGTTTACTCGGCATTGTTGTGTTTCATTATTGCCCTCAACAATCCGCTTTCGTTATTGCGGAAAGAGCTGAGCTGTGAATCGCTTGTAGAAGAAGTGCGTCGTAGAGTAGACAATTTTGTGCTGTTGAAATCCTTTTAGAATATCACGATTACTTATCTTATATAAGAATTGTTAAGAAGTCTGTGAAACTGCCCTCAACACTCTCCATTTTAGTTTTGATTAAATTGATAATTGCCGGTGGACGTCGTGGTCTCTTATAATTGAAGAAAGTTTGAGGTAAGGGATTCCTATTTATTATTAATGTTCATCACATTTAATGTTTTCATCTGCATTTGTGAACTCGTTTAAGAGAATTAGGCTTGTCTTCTTTTTAACACAATTTCAAGTAATATTACATTGACTTCTGTTTGTTCACGGCATCATTGATAGTGAAAGGATATTCCAGTGGGCAATTAACATTTTACAATTTTAAAAGAATAATAATGTGTTTCGTAGCCCAGAATCTTAATAAAAATATATGGATGCTAAGAAGTGGGGTACATATTCTGAATAATAATTCTATCACTTTACATTTCTTGATACATCGACATTATTAAAGCGTTTTAGGGAACTGCTAAGAATTTTTATTTCTGATTTACAAGCCTAATTATCGATAAATCTCCCTTTTATTATCTCCATACAACAGCTGATTAAATCCGGGGAATGCTTGCTATCAATGAGTGCAAAGTATTTATGGGTGCAAAACGAGAAACATAGACTGAGGGTCTCTGAGAACAGAGTGTTGAGGAAGATGTTAGAACCCAAAACGGGAGTGGGACAGATAATAGAGAAAAACGCATGACGAGCTCCTCACAAGATTTTGTTAGGGGGAGGTGGGTAGGGGAGGGGTGTTTACAAGGCCTGAAGGGAGGAGACCTCTGGGAAGACCTCGGCGTAGGAGTTCAATGTGTACAATTTTCAATGCATCTGGCGCGTTAAGCGCCCGCCTCTCGAAAACCGTAAGAGACGGATCTGGACACACTCAATTTTTTTTTCAACTACCAACAATGATTAAATATGGACCGACAATGGCCAACTTTTATGTGAACACCTACGTGTATAACAATGCAAGAAAAAAAGATTGGAATTTCTAACCCACGCCTGCAACAATATTGGTCGAGCATGCCGTAAGGCTCTTTTCTCATTTACTAGAGCAGAGCGCTCCTTTCGGAGCTCCTCGGGCGGGTTGGTCAAGTTTGTAAAACGCAACCAACCTTGTGTAAGAAACTAAACTAACCCCCCTTCTTTTTCAGCGTCTTGTTTTTTTTCGTTCCTCTGTTCTTAGGGAATAAGTTTTTCTACGTGTGTCGTTAATATGGTCTCGTCTATCATTGTAAGTATTCTTTCGCTCTTCTTTATTTCTTAAATAGGTCTGATGTAGTAGTTCTTTACGTCGCTGTTCAGAGGCCAACTGTTCTTGGTCAGTAAACGTTCTACGTCCAGCCCCACCCTTGCAAATCTTCGTCTTAAAATCGATCATAATAGTTTTCGTAATCGTAATATATAGAGTATATGAGTAGTATTATTAGTATCACTTTACCTTGTTGCAGTTGTTGGATTTGGTACTTCAAATAGTTGATAACTTCTTTTTTTACTTTTCTGATGTTTTAGGCCAACTGTCAGTCAATTTTTAATAATGCAACGTGCTGCTTCTGGAGCAGTGATAATGCGACTGGCTTGGTAGTAAAGCGTTATTTGTTTACTCGGCATTGTTGTGTTGTAATCGGCATTGTTGTGGTCCACAACAATGCCGAGTAAACAAATATCTGTTGACATTGTTGATGACGTCATTTCTTGAAGACAACGAGGAATCACAAATTTTTATAGTAGATTATGTATGCAGTATAATAGCCTGAATAAACCGTAATGCACTCCATTCACTTACCTAAGAAATTAATTGTTACGTCATTTGTTTACTCGGCATTGTTGTGTTTCATATTGCCGTCAACAATCCGCTTTGTTATTGTAGAAATAGCTGAGGGAGGGGAGTTGACAAGTTATTGGTTTAGTGGCCTGAAGGAAGGAGACCTCTGGGGAGACCTCGGCGTAGGTGGGAGGATAACATTAAGATGGACCTTAGGGAGATGTTACTCGATGGAGCGAACTGGATGCAACTGGCTTAGGATAGACCCCCGTGGCGGGCTTTTTGAACACGATGATGAACCTTCTGGTTCCGTAAAGGAAGTGGGCTGTTTTTTGACAAGCCGAATTTCAATCGACGTTTCATAGAATATCTTGCACATTGCAGTGTATGAGTACCGTGATGTAGGCCTGAACTATGCATGCGTTAGAACAACGAACAACTTTTGTGACTGTGCCCAACTGTAATTCTCGCGTTCATTTAATAAATTTAAATTACATTTTGTTTTTGTAGTGCATACAAATGTGTAACTTAGGCAGGAAAGTCCTTAATCATGTAAGCTGTTAAGCACTTTCAGTTCTACAGAGAGACAAGAACTCAAAATGTTTGTGCCTATGAAAAGGCGTAGCCTTCTTTTTCCAAAATTTATTTGTAAACTGTCTTGTTCTGCATCAAAGGTCACACAATTTCCATGGCATATTTTTCTCGTACTTTTTTTTAAATCGGTTCACCAGAGTACAGGCATCTGAGACTTTATAGATTACATTGATATTTTATACTTAATATCTAGGTACGTAGTTTACATATAAGAAGATTTAACTTTATGCGAGTAATGACAAACACGCGACATGACTTAATATTGCCCATATCAGTCACATCTTCAGGGTGATTAAGCCAAGAAGAGTGAGATGGGCGGGGCATGTGGAGTGCATGGATGGGGTGAGAGGTGTGCACCGGGTATTTTTGGAAAGCCTGAGAAGAAGAGGCCGCTGGGGAGACCTAGACGTAGATGGGAGATTAATCGCAGGCGGGATCTATGGCAGATAGAATTTGAAGGAGAGTGGATTTTGTTGGCCCAGGGCAGGGTCCGGTGGAGGGCTTTGGTTAGATCGGTGATGAAACTTCTGGTTCCGTAAGCCGTCTAGGTAGTTTGTTTGTTAGTTAGTTAGTTATATGTCGCACTTACAGCTTTGTCATTTAATGTTGGATCTCAACAGACATTTCTGTTACAAAGATAAAAACTGATTCCATGGAGCCGAAGTCCTGCTTGAGAATCTAACAGTAGCCTAGGTTATCAAATGTCTCGCCCCTTATGAAACATGAAGTTTCATGTCCGTGTTTACAAGACCCCGCCTCTAAGCCACATCCACAAGCCACATCTTCATTCCCCACGTCTCTAAGATCCATTTTAATATTATCATAGAAACGCATAGGACGCTCTAATGACCTTTTCGCTTCAGGTCTTCCGATTAAATAGGTGCACTTCTTGTCTCTGCCATGTGTACTACATGCCTCGTCCATCTCATCCTCCTTATTACGCAATTTTCATCATTCCCTTGTCAGTAACTCTCTCGCAGGACCAGATAATCTTCTCAATACCGTGTTCCCTCTCAGTCACTCTCAGTTGATGTGCACACGTGTCAGTATGAAGAAAAACGTTTAACAGCGAAGGACTGTCTTTTCAGGAGATGGAGTTAAACCAAAGTCGCAGTTGTTCTCAAGATGGCGGCAGGCGCACGCGCACCGAAGCATTGGCCTCTCTGAATGAGCTGAAAGAGAAGAACGTGTTAAGTGACGCGGTGTTGAGGTTGGAAGATGGCGGCTCCTTTCCAGTCCACAGAATGATTCTCTCCATGTGCAGCGAATATTTCAGGTTTGTTTATTAACTGACGCGGTTGATTAAAATGTGAAATAAGGACATAATAGAGGCGGTGAGGAAGAAGACTAATGTCTTCTGGACGTTGCGCCGTAGAAAATGAGTGGTATTTCAGACGTACTTCCTGCTTTCTTTCCTTGATGATCGAGGCAGTAAGCACCTGTAAAGAAAAGTCCTATAATTTCTACGAGATAACACGACGCAACATCACAGAAGACGGACGTGGTTTTTTGTACTAATTTTTAAGTGCGGTTGTACCAAGGTGATAGTCAATCGATCTGGTGGGAGAATTAGAATCCATTTCCAAAACTTCTTTGTTTTAATACATAAAGACGACCGACAAAGTCCAGAAGTAAGTTGGCAATGCACCTTCGTCACGCCATTGTCTAGGACATTGAAAGCTGCTGTGTGTTGCTCTCTCTGAAATATAATAAATTGTAACGAAGCACTTCGCGAAAAAAGTTTTATTTGTAGGAGAGAATCGTTCGGGAATGTGTGCATGCGTTAATTTGCATGTTTTTTAAATAAACATGCGGTGCGTTCTTGAAATGAGAAATTAATTATAACCGTGAACCATTGTTCCTGTTTTCCAACTGACTTTTCTCACGTCATGTTACAAGATGTACCCCTCTTTCAGTTTTCCGACAATCAAAGCTTTCCGCTTGTCTTGCACTGCAAAGCCCTTAATTTGCAATAGAAAATTGTTTGCTGGTTGGCGATCACTTTTTAAGGCCACGTAGAAACATCAGCTTTTCTTTTAAGTTGTTTATTGTCGGGAAACTGTTTTGACAGAACAAATAGATTTCATATTTCGAACTGATCAATCAGTGGAATGTACAGCCTGCGATGAATGTTGAAATAATTGTATTAATTTGCTGGTTGGCCTTAAAATTTCTGTTGTAGTTGTTATAACCTCAGATATCTCCTAAAGGAGTCAAGAGTATGTAAGAAACGAGGTGACCATTCTATAGTAGAAATGTTCGTTGATTGCCTTCCGATTTTTAAGTTATATTCTGTTAAGTCTACGCACCCTGTGGCAGTTAATCTGTTCCCATTAGTACACATTCTGGGAGTTTTTGAAGTATTCAGATAACAAAAATTCATCCACCACATTGACAAAAGGACACTTTTATTTGGCTACGTGAATTATAAAAACTTAAAGTTTATGCGCATGGCTTGTAATTTTCTGCTCGCCGTTTCTCCAAATCGACGACTGCTTCGTGACGTTTCAGGAAATTCTTCACTACAAAACTGCACACCAGTGAGCAGACTGATATTCTCCTCCACGGAGTCAGCTCAGATGTGATGACCCAGATACTGGGTTATGTTTATTTTCGCAAGATGGACATCCACTCTGACAACGTGCGTCAGGTGCTCGTGGCGGCTGACTATTTGTGTATACCAAGCGTTACTAAACTCTGCTGCGATTTCATCAAGGAAGAGATAGACGCCGAAAACTGTATCGACATCATGCAGTTCGCAAGGTAATTGATGTTCATTTGTCATTTGCTGTGACGCCAGCCTTCGTCGCTGGAGCGAAGCAGCTTTACTCAAGAGAGCAGCTGAGTGCCGGGTCGCAGATTAAACCCTCTGACTGAGGACTGGGCAAATTATAAAGCGTTGTAGGTCAGGGCTATTATTAATGTCCCTGTAATTTAAATGTTCTGATTTAACTGCTTATGTTTTGAGCATCAATATGACCAGCAGATGACTAATTTCATCATGTAGAACGTGAATCGCGACCTATTGCAGGGTCACAATTATCTGTGTCTTCCTCTTGAATTCCGTCTCTTCTTTCTTTCTTTCTCTGCGGCATTCTTTGCTTCTTACATAATCCTCCCTATATCAAAATCAACATTCAGCCCCACATATTTCTGCATACAGCAAAACCTCTGTTAACCGACCCTCGTTTATCCGATTCCCTCATTAAGCGACCGAATTTCAACCAGATCGGTTGCGATCGGTTTCCACCGGCGAGAGTGTTTAAAGCGATATCCACGCGGTACAGTTCATTGATCTAACCTCACACACAGATTTTGTTGATTATTATGGACACTTCAAGACATTTAGAGAATTTGTTATTATCGGGCAAAGACAAAAAACAACCTTCTGGTCCCCGTAGAAGCTGAACCCCTACCCTTCTTGTTCAGGACAACATGGCAATCAAATCAACTGACATTGGCAGAATCACACCAGAACCTCCACTTCATGTGATGGACAAAGTTACTGATAAATTCACTATTTTAATATAGGGACTACTTCGAACAGCGCCGACGAGTGACTTTTGCCGTCGACTTGTGCGTGCGAAACGCCCGCTTCATCCGCCGACGAGGAAAATCTGTATTGCATCTCTATATATTTGTTCATATCCATGAACACGTTCCCCTTTCCCTCTCTCATCCGACTTATCGGCTTATCCGACCCGTGGTTCCCCCCATATAGTCCGGTTAAACGAGGTCTCACTGGATTAACACACAGAGTTAACACAATGTCGTTTCGCCAAGGTTGATGCCTGAAATCTAAATTGTACACTTGTCACTCACTGCCTTCTTTACTTGCGTACATCGTGCATTATTTTCAACCTATAACTTTATCACGAGGACGAGCGGGCATTGCCTGGGAACCTTCGTAGCCAAAAAATTTCTATTTTGGCCCGGTTAAACGGAGCGTCTCTCATCGTTGCCTCTCCACGTGCCTGCTCTCAGTCTCACTCATTCGGGCTTCAAAGGGCTAAGGTAAAATGTGGAGGCGAAATACTGTGGTGTGCGAATGCTTGAGAATTGAGCTCTTGATGCAGCGTTTCAATGTGTCAGAGTTCGAAGGAGATCGATTCTGAGTCGGCTCTTACCTTCGCTGTCGCAGGTTTTACTTCTGTGCCGACCTTGAGACCGAAGCTGGTCGCTTCGTTCTGCGCCACTTCGTGGTAGTGTCTCAGCAGAACGAAGAAGTCCTAGAACTGGCTGCACAGGAGCTGCAAGCAATAATCGAGTCTGATGAACTGAACGTTAAGTACGAGGAAGATGTGTGGGAGTGCGTTCTCCGGTGGATCAACCACGACCCGGACAACAGGAAAGGCCACATCGCGGACCTCTTGGATGGCATCAGACTGGGACTACTTGACGAACAGTTTTTCCTGGAGACGGTCAGTATGCCCCTGAAATCGTGGATTTTTATGGGAACTGAAGCCCGCATTTCCAATTCCGTTTTCACACGCAATTCGTAACTAATTAATGCAAATCGTGAGCCTTTCACTTCGTCACGTGTAAGGCCGTCCGTCTGTCCGCAGATCAAGCTCAAGAACGTCTAAACGGATGTTCATTAGATTTAATATTGATGAGCTTTAACAGAATCTGTTGACGCATTCCAGTTCTGGTTTAAATCTTACATTAACAACGTTAAAATTACACAATGATTTTAATGCCTTATTCCGCGCAAAATTTGCTGCGTGAGAAATCCCGATATTATCTTAGTTACCATGGTTACAATAAGTACCTGTGGAATGCCGCTGGTAGCACGCTCGCATATGTTTGTGTATGTGCAAAACAAATATTCGATTCGTCCTTTTATTCAGATATGTGGTTGGAGTTAATAATCGTCTTTTATTCATCTTCTGTAAGTTTGACGGTCCGAGTGTGCTACAATATTTAATTACAGTTTCAGCGTTTATTAAGATCCATTACGTGTTTCAGCTCAACTACAGCATTCCACCGTTAACTACATTCAAACGTCCACTCAGCTTGAATAGAAAAATCCTCCAACAGATAAATCACATCTTCTACTTAACCAAAGATCCCGCTGCCATAAGAAGCGTATCTTACCTGCTATAATAATTTCACGCATTTCCGACGATATATATAGTCAAACCGAGATCACTTCAGTGTGATAAGCCTCAGCTGATTGACCACATAGGGACAACATATATCCGAAAAGTGCAGCAAGATAGCTTCGTATTTCCTCCAAGAGTAAATTACCCCAGGGGCTTCAAACTCATAGACAGCTTCAACATTCGAATATTTTAACCGCCATCTAACGAAGCAACCGTACAACTTATGATATTCTTTCTTCCATTTCATCAAGCGCTTTAACCCGAGAGATAAATTTTTCCTACTCAAGGTCAAATGTCCTGTGATTTCAGCCACACACATCTTACGAATACGTGTGAAAGAATCGCACGGATTCATGGAAATGTTATCAGCATCAAATCTCTTTACAATTTATCATTCGTATCCACTGGTTTCGAACACTTAAAGAGAACCACCTGATGATGACGAATTAAGGTCGAAACATGCAATGGCTCTTAATAGACATCGAGACCATAATCACATGCTGTTGTGTTGCCTGGCCTTCAACCCGACCATCATCATGCAGCAGGCTGCCTCCCTTAAAACTCGAAGCAACTAATTGTCATAGTTTTCTTTCTTTGCTGCGTAATTTTGACGACTAATTAAAGTTATCGAATCCAAAAGAATGTGGTGATCGCAGCGTGCATCTCGAACTGGAGAGACGAGAAATAAATTACAATTTTTGAATGTAACTCAAAATGCAACCCTTACTGAAGTATTTAACTTTCGGTTGAAACAAATTTCAATACATTTATCTAAAATCGATTTAACCTTGATTTCTCTTCTCTCCATAACCTGTACATTTGTTAAGAGCGTAGTTACATAAACCAAAAAAAAAAAAAGTATACCATAGTCTACTTCGGGGAGGTCCCATCCAAATTATGTGTGAATTTATTGTCTCCTCTGCAATGAAACATGGCTCCCCTTCCTAAAATTTATAAGGCCCACATTGAACTGTTTAACAGGTATCAAAGCACCCGTACGTGACGGAAAATGATGGGTGCAGACCATTGATCTCGGAGACGGTCGCGTTTCTGCGCTACTCACAAATGATGAAGAAGGAAGGCAAGGAAATCGTGACACCAAGGATTGCCCGCCCGCGAATCCCACAGTACAATCTTTTTGCTATTGGTGGGACTCGTGGCGGAAAGCCGACAGATGTGATCGAAGCGTACGACGCACGAGCAGACCGGTGGAGTGTGGTGAGTTGCGCGCATTTCTACTCTTACCGTGCCTTGTTAAATGACGCCACCGAGAAAACTACTTTTCCTACTTATATTTTTACTAAGTAACTGTTTATTCAAGCTTAATCACAAGTATGTCTTTGTCTCTTTTTTTCCTGCTAATTTATTTTCATTGCAGTGAACCCTTTTTAAGAGAAGCTCCAAAGACATGAATTAAAAAGAATAAATACATAAATAACACAGGTGCTGAGTCTCATGTTCAATGTAAGTTCTAACAGTAATCGACGAAGGATACTAAGTTTGCCTTAAATACCATTTACAACAAGCGTCCTATATCAACTGTCATGGCAACCTGCCTGCTGATTTTAGACATGAAACGAAATATTTGTCGATCAGTGGATTTCAACGTAATAAATAAAGTACCGATCAATGTCGATGTTGGTTGTCTGCGTGGTAATGCCTCGTGAATTAGAAGGCTGACACACTCTTTGGGGGGAGGGACGTACTGCCTTCAGCTTTGCGTTGATAAAACCCAAAACACCAACATCTGTCTCTACCATCGTACGAACCTGATATGTCAGCTGTTGATCAGAAATTAATTCTACATTTGTCTGTCGTACTTAACGAGTGCACTGGTAATGTTTGAGCTTCTCTTCGGGGTCTTCCTGTTTCCCCCGTCTCTCATAATTCCATCATTTGCTCCAAGTTAATTTCTCACGGTCTTTGTCGAGTTCGGTAGGCCCGGCCACCCAGCACGGTGTAGCAGTTTCGGTCCACTGTTGGGGGTTGCACCTCTGCTCAGTGGTTGTTCGGTTGCTTGGACTCTAATGTAAGGACTTCACATCAGTAGACCAAATGACCCAAAGAAACATTAAGCCATAACCTGTCTTTCCTGCAGGTGGAGACGGTCGACTCGATCGGTCCGCGAGCCGAACACGGCACGGCAGTTGTCGGTTTCGACATTTACGTCATCGGCGGTACCGACGGCTTTGAATGTTTAAGCTCATGTCGCTGCTTCAACGCTGTAACGAAGACATGCCGCGAGGTGGCGTCTATGCATGAACGCAGGTAAGATGCAGCTTGGTAACTAAGGAACTCCTTGGAACAGAGTCCTTCTTCAAAGGCTGATAGTCGCTCCGTTGTTCAAGTTATAAATGTGCGCTGGGGATGTAAAATTGTACCAATCACATACAGGAGCATCGTGCAAAGTGTGAATAGGTAGGACCTTTGGGACAATGTTGGTTTTAAGAATACGATTTGCTTGTTAATTCATTTGAATTATGATTTGACAATGGCGAGCGAACAACTGCGTTCTGCGAGAGGACATGCTTCTGAATCAACAATAAATGAGCATAGCAGCGCGTGTACTTTTTATCATTTCAGACGCAAATTAAGTGTGGCAGTTCTGCGAGGTGCAGTTTACGCAATGGGCGGTCACCATGGTCATTCGGATCTAGGATCGGCGGAAAGATACGACTGCACGACGAACCAGTGGTCTTTCATCGCTTCCATGAACACAGGGCGACGCAGTGCAAGTGCGGCTGTACTGAATGGTACGTAAATCCTGTGAAACAGAAATGCGTGAAATAGTGTCTGTCTATCCGCGTGTAACAACGCAAGAACGCTTAAAGAATTCGCAGGAATTGAAGCTCTCGCTGTGGCGAGTACGAAGATGGCTGTCGTTTCGCTTGTGCCGACGTTTCAGTCGATATTTATGCCTTTATCATCAAGGCATTGTCCCATTTTCTTTTATTATCTCTTTCTTTTATCTGTGCTACGTGCTAGGTTATTTCACAGACTGCAACGGCTTGAAGTTCTGAGTGTGTGCTGGTTTCTTCTGATCTTGTAAGCTGTCTCTGTACATCGTCTTCTGCCTTTGTAGTGTACACTAGGAGTGAATGCAAACAACCATCAAACTATGAAATGGATCTCATATAATACAGATTGTATATGTTTTTGAGACAGTTAATAATCTCATGTAAATAGCACATTGTATAATAAATGTAGAGCACCGCTTGGCAGCTCGTATCGTACACCTATGGTACCAAATTTAATAAAATTCGTGTAACAGAAGATGTAACTTACCGTCATTTCCATTCCGCATTAATTTACGCACTTTATGCTGTTTATATAAAATTTTATCAGTTTCTCGTTTCCTTTGACACGCTGATTGTCTGCATTCGAAACGAAGAAACAGATGAACAGAGACAGCCGTGTCTGTGAAGTTTCTGTGACACGAAGGGGGATATTAAATACAATATCATTAATAGAATTACATATTTTAGTACGGATTGTCTCACGTTTGTTCTCTGCACCGACCAGTTAAAGCCTCTGCCTACACCAAATATGTGTACAGTTCGTGTCATATAGTTTATTTGTTTTTACAGAAAAAATATACGTCGCTGGTGGATTTAATGGTTATGATAAACTAAACTTGGTGGAAGTTTATGACCCGGACACCGACCAGTGGACGTACGTTGCACCAATGCTTTCTCGACGTCCCCTTTTTTCTTGCGTCGAGTTCCACGGCTGTCTGTACGTCCTAGGTGAGAATTCTGGACATTCTGAGTGATGCTCCTCTATCATTTTTACAGAACTTGTTATTGTGAAATGTGTTCCTGGTTTTTCTTTGAGTGACTGAGATTTTATGAACAGCATTTTAAACCGATTCCTGGTTTCGATTCCTTTCTCCACAAAGAACACTAACTAATAACGCGTAATCTCTTGTGGTATCACAAGTAACTTATGCCCCATTTGTCAAACAATCCCAGTTTTAAAGGTAAATATTTTGTTCTTGTAGCAAGGGAATTTCAGTTTGCCGTGCTGTTATCTCCAAAAAGCCGGTGGTTTAAAGCAGTCCCTTCGCAGTCTTTGCTTTTCGCACGTAGTTTCATGAAACAGAAAACAGATGTCAGGCACAATTTCCTGATGCTACAAGTACGAAAATAATATTGTAGCTATTTCATCCTTAATTTCGTTCCTGGTACTAATACTAACACTGCAAAAGGGAATCGATTTTCTTCGTTGCATTTCATTCATTCGTTCCGTTTACGGAATTACAAATTTTAAGATCGTAAAGTCCATGGGTAAGACCTGCGCATTTTGAAGCACTGAAGTTACCAGAAATACATTTATCTTGTAAGTTATAAAAGGTAATCTTCAAGGTAAGATACCACTTGCGATATAGGCGTAAACGGAAGGATAATATTAAAATGTTTGTATGATCTAGAGTATGTGAGAAGAGTTCAACTACCGACTTTTATGAATAAGGTAATTAATCATGTGGCTCTATAAAGGCCAAACATTTCGTGGTCAGGTGACTGAGTAATAATTATCAAGAAGGGCCCCGCCTAATGGGGTTAGAATAAGTTTCGTTTGGCAGTTTTTTATATGCTTTGACCTGTTACGGAATTTGTGTGTGTGAACAGGAGGGCACCCCAGAAGATCAGGCGAGCTCATAACCGAAAAGTATGACCCTGCAGGAAACACGTGGACCGAGATCCCTGCCATGAACTTCTATTCATGTGACTTAAACGCAGAAGTGAACGACGACACGATCTTCGTCATCGGTTGTTATTACGAAACGGACACAATCAGTGACGACAGTTACGACGACAAGGAACATAAATGGTTTGTTTGTTTGTTTATTCATGACTGTATAATCACAAAATGTTACTTTCGAAAAGCACTAGGAAGTGAATCATTTCCGGTCGACATAACCGCGATCTTGCGGATGCTGAGCCGTGTAGTAACATAGAAACTGGCCGACGTTTCGGAGGTTCTTACTGCTTACTCAGGGCCTTGAATACAACGCGCGAAAAATGGGTGAGAGGAATGAGGTGGAATGAAATCAGGTAGGGCGATGTTGCGGTCAAGCTGAATCGTTAAAGCAGAGGGCGAATGACTGGGTAATGTTAATCAGACGTAAGCTCTAACTGCATTGAAAAGAATCTCTTAGTGTAAGTTTCTTTGGTCAGGGTTACTCTCTTGGGCAGGAATTTCTGGCGTTCAGCACATCAGCATCGCCATAATCATCGACTTTCATCAAAGTGTTAGGCCAGTTTCAGGTTTAACGACGCCTATCCGTCTCATGTTCCCATTTTTGATGATGTTTATTTTAAAATGGCTGTCTCTTGGCGTGTTTGACCATGCAGTCTCCTGTCATCTGTTGACGGAGTGAGTAAGGAGCTCCAAAAACATCCCAGAATAAAGGTTTCTTCATACTTGTTTGTTCAAGAGTCAGAAATCCCACTGATATTCATTTGATTTTGATTTTGTCTGTTTTACATCCACCAGAACTTCTCCAGAACTATTTTTGGTGGGACTAAAAGAATTTTTAAATATATTGCTAAAAGAGGGAAATGTTGTCATGGGCGCATGTCTCAAACAAGACGCGCTTATCTCTCCAAAGAAAGTGTGATTAAATTTATTATTCTGACCGAGGGTAATGGCTTAATGAAGTTTATCAAACGTAGCTAGCGCAGAAAACAATTCATTTGACGGCTTTTTAAAATAGTCATAACCTCTCCCTCCACTTTGACGTAATAAAATGTATTAGGTTATAATAGGACAATGGCCGGGGTTCTATGTGCATGAGTGAAAGAAAGATCACGTGGGAACTGTTCTGAAATATGGTGTGGAAATCGTGAATTGAATTCCGATAGGGGGAAGTTTTGTTAAGGTTGTCTGGAAACAAATTATAAGCAACGACGTTTCGGTGGAATCCTGTGCCCTTAGCTTCAAGCAGTTTTCCATTCTACACAAAGACAGAGCCAGCCCATCAGACACGGATATTTTTAGGTTAACACATTTTACGACTCACAAGGATAATTCTTTTATACTTATTCTACACAGAACTCTCTGATATTTTAGAACCCCAAAAGAAAAATTATATATATTTCTAAAAAAATAAATTATTTCTTTACATAAATGCACTGACATTCAAATTATACCTCTATTAAATTTATATTAAATAAATTATTTATGGTAGAATACGCATTCCTTCGTGAGTTACATCATCGCATATTTTCTGTAACTGTAGCAGTGAAATGTGATACAAATTGTCTTGAGTGTAGATAATACTGATGGATGATGAAAGAGGGTTTGTTTTCACTTTTAATATTTCAAATTGCAGGTACAAGGTGACAAACAAGAATGTTTCTAGATACTTCCTGTCGACTTGTGTCGTCAAGAACCTACCTAATGCAAGCGATTACGATTATAAACACAGAGACAATTTAATGAAGCAGCCATGCGCAAAGTACAGAAATAGGAAAAAAGTGATAATATTAATTTAGTTAGTCATAGCTGCTTTCAGATTTCTTCAGAACCGACTTACCAAAAATTTATCATATAAACATAGTGACTGTCAAGTGCAATCCTGAACAACTTCTGCTGATTGAAAACTCTGTTGTGTATTACAATGAAGGGCTCTTTAAGTTATTTTGCACCAATTTATTAAGAATAACGCATAGAAAAGTATAAAATGAGTTTCATAGACAAAAGTCAAAGGAGAACTAAAGGTAAGATTTGTTTTTGTGTTGTTATAAACTGTCTGGAACATTAAAAAAATTTCAAAATGTTAAAAACTTGAAGAATTTATGACTTAATCGTAATTTTGACATTTTTAAATTATAAATTTGATGGTTTGCGGAATTGTTCACAAGTTTATACTAGAATTTCAGACATGTAAACAATAAATTGTGTATTTCGAATACGAGAAAAAATTTGTCAGTTACACTTTTCGTTCCCCTTTTTCGTTCCACTTTTTTGCCGAATGACCCTTCCTTACAGACGTATTTACGTCAAAAAAAATTACCAACCGCTAGAACCCTTTTTTCGATATCAAAAGTTACAAAGTTGAATATAAAGTAGGCATGAAGTGCAATTATAAAATTGAAGTAAAAATATGTTGATACATTTTATTGGATTGGCCACTTGTGATCCTGAATCTGAACGAATGTATTAAACATGTTAAAGTTAAATTTGTGCTTGCTTTGTCCAAGAAATTCGATTCGGTCGCCCACTGCAAATTATGCTACCTGCATGTTAACTGGCGATATACAGATAAATTAAAATCATTACGCGATAATTCAAGACCTAAATATCTTTATCAGATATTAAAAAGTTTTATAATGTTGAGTTACTTTATAGAAATACCATATTGGACAATGTTTATTGTCTGAGGTATATTTGATATATACGACTATTAAGCCGGCTACACACGTACAGGTATACCTGAACAGACGCGCCTCTCAGGTATACCTCAACGTGTAGATGATAAAACTGTTCAGTTATTTCTGCCAGCGCAGGCGACCGGAACAAATAGTCCATTTCAATCGTTATAGCTGCGCCTGAACGAACTGCGCATGTATACCTGCGCGTGTGTTGACTTGCTCCGGTACACCGGCCACGAGCTCAGTACCTTTACATGTGTCGTGCAACAAGCGTGACAGTGGAACAATGACCGCCGAGTGCCGAAAAAGCCATCGTGAGTGCTTAGAGGAGTTTAATGAAATGTACAAAAGTGAACATTGTCTCTGGCAAGTGAAGTCAAAACACTACCATGACAGCCAAAAAAGAAAAAAGAAGAAGAATCTTATTTAAAGTTTTAAAAATCTTAATTAAATGAATTGATTTCCCTGATGCCACTGATGATGACCTCTTGAGGTTGAATCGCGTATGGCAATAGTGTCTTTTTTATAGTGTTAATAGTTGTTTGTTTGCCTATTTATATTATTTAAAGTTGGTTCAAAAGCTTAAAGAAATCGATCCCGCTGCCAACATTAAAAGTGTTGTAAACAATCAACATCAGAAGCAATTACCTGAAGGAGCTCAAAAAGGTCAAATCTACAACCAAATCAGGATCAGGAATCGATGATGTTTACGTGCCCAAATTGTGGTATTTTAAGCTCCTCAATTTTTTAAGTGATCAAGAAACGCCAAGGACTTCTCACTCCAATTTGGACAACGACAATGCCATTAAAAATTGTGCAATACACAACTCGTCATTACTACCGAATCAATGTGTGTTGGGTCTAAGTGTGTGAAATATTCCGAACCTCAATGACACGATACCAAACGCGTTATCAACAATACGTCTCGCACGAGAAAAACGATAATTATATACCTTTTTATCTTTAGAATCCAGGTTTGCCTGTCGATACGGTTTCACCATAACCATTCTCAAAGGAAACGCGTATTCGGCGACAAATACGTAGGGTAGAATTGTAGAAGTGTTTCTGTTTCTCTCTTCAGGTAGAATGTTTAAAGGGTTATTTTCAAGTCTCTCGAAAAATGTCGTATTTTGAAGAACACCTCCGTCGGAAACTCTTCCGTTTATACCGAAATCGCACATGATGAATTGATATTTTGCATCCACTACTGCAAGTAAAACCATTCTGTGTCGTCCTTTGTAATTATAATAATGCGACCCACTTCCACTTGGGCGAATAATGTCTACATGTTTCCCGTCGATGGAATCGAGACAATGTGGAAAGTTCCACCTTTCTTCGAAGATTTTGGCTATGTCCCTCCAATCGTCTTCTGTTCGTGGAAACTGAAATACAAAAAGATTTATGTTGAGAGAGATATGAATCTATAGGAATACGATAAAGTTATATATTTTAAAACATGCGGCTATTTTTTCAAAAGATACATGGTTAGAAATAGAAATAACACTAGAAATTTAGATAGCACTCGCATTGTTTCTATGAATTATAGGAGATTCACATCGACAGATTCAATAGTTGGTGATTGGGATGTCATTTTTCAGGAGCAACCTATGGAATCTGGTGAAAGTGATTCATTTATCTGCACCCACATCGTCTATAGAGTCTCCAAGATACGATTTGTTAGAACCAGCTTTCATGACCTCCCAATGTTCGCGTTCAAGGCCATCAAAAAGAAAATTGGAATCCACGGATTCGGCTTTAGCTACCGAAGTTTTGATGTCAATTAAAGACCATTTTAAGCGCCCGGAAAGTACTGATGACCACTTCGACATTGAATGAAGCTACGCGATTTGCCACAACAGCAAAGAATTATAGCTGAAGAACTTATTAATGAACCATTGTTTGAAGCTGAGATAGGTACTTTAACCAAGGATAATAGATTATTTGCCCAAGGGATGACTTCGACAACATTCAACACATTTCAATCTCCTTCTTGCTGCGATTTCAATGCACGTACTATTCTCACGCATGTAACGCCACAAATAACAAGTCCCAACACTTCGGAAAACTCTGTTTCTGTGGCATCATACGTCAATAACTTTAGTGTGTATTTTGTAAACCACTCTTTTGCCAAATTTCAAATTTTTTGTCTAAATTTGTAAAATTTTACATAAACATTACTAAACCAAGCTGAAAATTGTTCAATTTCCTTACCTTTAAGTACTCTTTATGTAGAACTTTATATATAGTATCACACGTTTCTGGAATAATACAGCTGAGAGCCTGAGGTGATATTATTGTAGGATATTTCCGGTCTTCATAGCTTCTTCCGGTTGCAAGAAATCTTTGACAAGCAGTTAACCTCTCATGTGGTGGTATAGCTTTTTCTCACTACACACCAACGACAGGAGCCTTAAGTACATTTCTTCGTCCATCCTTTAATAATTGTGCCAATCTTTCGGCGCAAATTTCAATTCCTGTAGTAAGTTTACTGTTCTCTTCTTCTCAACCAATCTTTACACCACGTAAGACGTTTTCTGTTACGTTTACTACACTTTTTTTGTAGCTATTAACCAGCCAACTATCGCCAAAGCATCGTCTGTTGACGTCATCGCGCTAGCTGAAATACAACTGAACTGACAATAAAAACTGTACCGTGTGGACGCACTAGAGCATGAGGTATACCGAACAGGCATAACTGAAAGGTATATCTGTACGTGTTTAGCCGGCTTTAGTAGAGTTAAAACTGCAGTCATTTGCGGGTCACAGAACTAGCCTAGCATTCCACAGGTTTCGGGTTTGATTCCGACCTATTCTCAAACACCTGCAATCTTTATTCCTCTCTCTGAGTGAGAGATCATGTTTCGCACTCATACAAACAGGTAAAATTATTGTTTAGTATATTTTAATCTTCAGGTTCTCACAAACCAGACGGGAATTTTGAACTGAGAAGTAACAAGCATTTCCATAATTTAGTCTTCTCCTAACTTCCTCATGAATATCATTTTGATTTGTTATTGTTGTTCCAAAATATTTGAACTTTGTAACACTTTCAAAGGATTTATTAGCCACCCTAAGATAATTCTGCCCGCCTGTCTGCTGACGACGAGATACTAACATGTACTTAGTTTTTTCTGAATTTACCTCTAGCCCCACCTTACTTTTCAAATTTCACGGGCTCTGCAGAGTCTCATTTCATTTACTATAGTGCTAGAACATTCGTACTGATGGCGTTGTGATTCCGGGATTTGCAGACTAAGATTTTTCACGAAGCTCAGTAGAGCTGATCTCCAAGTTGATAACAGAACATGACAGCACTTTACATTTAGATACCCTTTTCCTTCAGTTTTATGTCAAGACGACTGAGGCCTGTTCTATTCTACAATTATATACAGTAAAACCCCTCTATATTGGACACTTTTAATTGGAACCGGCGAATATCCTATAATTTTACATATCCACAATACCCTATATCTTGGACACCCCTTTATCCTGGAACTTGGTCACCCCTTTTGTTGTAATTTGGACAGGTTCATGCACTTAGCTTCGATGCTTTTATGGGAAACATTTACAGTTAGTATTTTGTTATTTTGAATTTCTGACTGATGAATGCCTTCTACCTGAGAATTAGCTTATGGTTGAGGGTGTGAAACTTGAACACATCACTGTAATGCAGTGAAAGTGAATAGTTATTCTTTTGTTGAACCCTTCACTGGACTACAGTACGTATTGATGGTACAGTTTAAACTTTGTCAGTACAGTACAATCCCATTATAACGCGGGTCGCGGGGGACAGGGGTAAACTCGCGTTATTACGGGAGTGCATCGGTACAAGTACTGGACGTACTGTACGGCACGTAAAGTATTGATAGACTATTGCCATATAAGAGTATACATACTTATTTAACTATGTTACGATTGATTTTTACGGAAAAAGTAATAAATAATTAATTTGGCTTGCATTTTAATATAATTTTGAGTTCTGTGTGAAGGATAATTGATGATTTTTTTTACTTTTTTTGCTGCACTATGGGGACATGAGGTACCCGTGTTATATTTGGAACCGCGGTATAGCGAACCGCGTTATAGAGGGGTTGTACTGTACTGTGCTTGCAACTGAGTTAAACAGTGTTAACAGAAATTACAGTAGTTAGATTATGTAAGTAAATAGATTACATTGTCGGTAAACGTAGAGTATTGGTGCCCTTCCCTTTCAGCTTATCCATGCAAGTTTAATTTAGTGAAAACAAAATTTGTAAAAATTTAATTTACTCTTTTGATTTTTCTTATCAATAATTTCCTTTTTGGGAAGGGCTCCATAATACTATTACCACATTGTCATTGCACCACAATTTTAAAGGATGATTTTCCCCTTTCCCTCTATCCTGGACACCTCTGTAAGTTGGACACATTATCGTGGAACCGCAAGTGTCCAAGTTACAGAGGTTTTACTGAAAATATAAATTCTTAACACGACAAGTTCATTGGATAAAAACAGTGTTTCTTATGAGTTATAACTCGGAGCTAAACTACAACATGGAAAATCTGAGTCTGATAAAGATAGGTGATGACGTCTTACGTTTGCTCTGAAACTAATTGCGACTATTTTTAGTGGGATAGAACTAGTGCGAACTTCAGGATCAAACAACGAAATATTGACGGAAAAATACACTAATATCATTACTTTAAAAGTTATAATTTTGAATTTTAGAGACGCATTTTATTTATATTCTTTGTTTTAGCATGAGTTTGATGAACTGGGTACGGAAGTTTTATTTTCTTTGGTGTATCGAAATCTGTGCATGGAAGTGACCACTCCTCCATTATGTGTTAGTAGGAATATGTTTCTCCGAAACGTCGCTATCTTCCTACAAGTCCACACGGCGTGATAACCCAGGAGACCAACACGGACATCTTTACAGCCTTGAGGACCTCAAATTTTAATAAAAATTAAACTGTTACAGAGAAAATCAGACATTTAAACAGAAAGATTACCAAGATCTATTTTGAGCTATAACCCACGAGAAATAACAGATTCCGATACTACTAGACCATGTACACGATGGACGAAAGTCGGAAACGTGCTTATAAACATATCCTTAAAATTAAATTATTTGGTTATTCCGTCAAATCACAATGTATTTAAAATAAGATAATTAAAATAATTAAAATATAATTCTGTGTTCCATATCGAATAATCGATTTACAATTGGAACACAGAATGATATTTTAATTATTTTAATTATCTTATTTTAAATACATTGTGATTTGACGGAATAACCAAATAATTTAATTTTAATTTAATAAGTCACAATATGACGCAACTACACTATCTTATAAACATATCCTTGTAAAGTAGAAGCAGAATAACTTTGTAAAACCACAGTTTTCTATTATCGCATCAGTTGACTGCTATGATAGCCACTCCTTCCCCTTCAATATTCCCCCTCCAACAGCTAAAAGCGCTTGCATTCATCTGTCTTTACATTTCGTTTTGCAGTGCCTCGTGGTAGAGCGAATGATTCGGATGTGACAGGGCATCATTTCACAGCCACAACCCGACGTTCGTCTTCCCGTTGCCAGCGTGTGTGTACGGTAAGATCATTGTCGTAAAACTGAAAGCAGTGTCAACTTTTGATACATTAACTTCCAAGATAAATTCCCTGTTCTCACAACGAAGTTTGTAAGTTCGTAGAACGCAAAAGAGAAGTGAAATCCAAAAGGGTTACTTCCTGACAGCCACAGTCTCTGATAACAGCAAGAATTCAGACTAGACTTGTGTTTGGACATCACATTACAGCTCCTTTTTCAGGACCAAAAACAAATCACGGAAAAAATAATTATTCCTGGACTGTACTGGGCACTGCCCATTGTCTGAGGTGCAGTTGATATACCGGGCACATAATGTTACGGGTAGGTTTAATTTCCAACGGAGGAAAGTGATCAGAAGCTACCATTGCAGACATACAATGAAGTCCGAAACATCGGTAAAAATATGCGGTGTCAAAAAACTCAGAAGATCACAAATCAAAATTTTCACCGCGGTGGACAGTAAATTAATAACTGAGGTGACTGACCAACATTCAATATGAAACATTTTACAGAATTCTGTAACTACAAAATAATCCATTGCTTTCTACAAGCCAAGGTCGTTATTAAGAAGGACTGGGCGCTTACTGAGTATTATACAGAGACAAATTACAGATGTCAGACTAAATTAGTTCCTGTTCTGTCCACGAGCTATAATTCCGAATATCCTATCTCAACCGTAACATAGTAACATCTCTTTTACTTGCGAGAGTTATGGACCAAAGATGAATATAAAAGATCGTGTTTACAGATCGATAAAATATACACAAATTATTATAATCACAACTTATATTGCGCGCTTAAGAAATCAGAAGGTTTTAATTTAATTTTAATACTGCTGAGGTTTAATCATGTTGTAGCCCAATTGAGAGGGTAGCATGCTGCTAGTGTGGTTCGGGTGTTGTCCCATAGTCCCGCTTTTGCCGATCGAGCATCGTGGTTTGTACCAAGGATGAGCGGCACTATTGCGTGTTAAAAGTTCCACCAAATCTCAAAAGATGGCGTTAGGTTCAGAGGAATCAGGGAACACAGTTCTAATGTACATAACAAGCTGTTTCCTGTTTGAAGTAGTGGATTAATAAATTATTGTCCATTTTTTAAATTCAGTAAAATATTTAGTTGATACAAACGCATGTTCGTAGAGTCTGAAGTGATATTTTGAAATATCTGCACACGAATAATCAGACTGAAGAACTCATCCCATGTCTAAGCAATTGAAAGTTTGCATAATACAGACACATAAATCTTAAAAAAGGGAAATTCAATATTACAAGTGTGTACACTGTCCTAAACACACGGGAGGTATATTTATGGCAGACAGCGTCTTGTGTGGATATCGATTTATGTACTTTACCTTCATTTGATTTTGCTTGTATTGTGATATATTACCGATGTACTGCACTGCTTTTGAAATCAAATATTTTATTTCTTATCGACGGCTTTCGTTTTTCGTCATTGTCGCCATAACTTTAAACAATGCATTCTTTTTATTCCGTGGACAAATTCAGTCCCTTTGTCTCGTAAATGCCCACAGAGTAATAATTGTTTCCTATTACATCATTAACCATTCATTCTTATTTTATTTCTTCTCCCAATAACG